TAAGGTCCTGTCCAGTCATAACCGAGCTGCTTCCATATTGGTTCATCTGTTCCCTCACAGTTGTATTGTAGCGCTACTTCTATCACATGGCAGCCTTTCCTAGCTGTTGAAGTACAAACTCATATGCATCAACTAATGCACACCTTAACTACTCCACATGAATGTTTTGGAACATCTTATCAAAAGCAGAAGACCATACATCATGCCAGGCTTTACCTTGCTGTGAGACAATGAGTGCCCATCTTAGAACTGGTCCTTCAGTTACTCTTTGTGTAGCTCATGAAGTATTAATTGTGGCATGAAAACCAGAAAATGACCAGGATATCCTCATCTAATCTGTGGGTACCAGTGTGGTTCCATCGAAGTGGTGGGATGTGTGGGTTGTTGGTTAAGCATCGGCTGGGCTCACGATTGGCTGTAACAAGACAAAAGTCTGATATCAAGGAAAGGACTTTTCCTAGGCCTGACAGCTCTCTCAAACAATGTCTCCCATCAGTGACCAACTCTTCCTCTTGGTCATAAGTCTTTTGAGTTGTGGAAGATGATCATTTCCTCAAAACAGATGCCTTTTTCAATCTTGATAACACAACAGTAGGAGTAAAATGAAATGCACATGTCAACAGAAAACAGACAACTTCACAATAAGATATCCTGTGGTTCATGGCATCAAACTTCTCTTTTCTATCTACTCTGTGGTGTTATCAGATAACACATTGTATTCAACTCATATGGATAACAGCTACTGGTGCAGAGTCATGAACTCTAAATTATCAGAAAAGTGGTACACTTACTATAACAATATTTTAAGCAGGTCAACTAATTTTTTTATATACTTAGGCTTAGAAAAAAGAATCTGAAGTTTTTTAAAGGGTTCTGCCTTCAATTAAACACTGCTGACCTACTTGGATTGTTTTAATTTTCTGATGGCTCTATCAGTTGCTTTAAGTTTTTTACACATGCATGCAAGTCCATTAATATATATGCATATATAAGTAGGTTAAAATTCCTCACTCCTAGAGTTAAAGCATGTTCAATAAGCATTTGTGAACTGTGACACCTATGACAGTCCAAATCTGCTTTTTGGCTTCAAACTTTAACATTTTGTAAATCTAAATCAAGGAAATTTTGCATTGCCAGGTTTTAAGTCAGAGTAGAGTATGCAACTGAAGGTAATAAGAATGACAAGTCTAACAAAAAGCGTTTGCTAAGACATCACTAACTTAATAAAAAGTTTTGTAATCTCATGTATAATAACATTGTTTGCTGTCAGTTCGTCTTAAAATTTTTATTTGTGCTGCCATCTGGCAGATATCTTTTTTATCTTAGTGCCCACTTTGAATAATAATATGACTGAAAACCCTCTTCAAAGTCCAACTGGAGGTATTCAGTTTTAAAGCGGTGGGACACCTTTTTTTGATCTTTTACCACACAAAGTTACTAGAAGGTGTATGAAAACAAGTATCACTACAAAATAAGTCTAGTTTGAAACTTTTGATGCACACACGAGATAAAAATATGTATATTGCCTAATAACTACTACTCACCTTAAGAAATGGCTTGAAAATCTGTTTAGGTGGAGAATGCCACTGGCAAGTAGTAGCTTGTAACTGATTTTTCACCTCCCTGTGTTTTTCTAGAACATTCTCAGATTTTGTTCCCTCATTGGATGTTTCAAGACAGCAGTAAGATTTAGATGATACACTGTTATGATCCAATGTGTGACATTCAGTTTTATATTTACAACTAGACTCATTGATCCATTTTGAAGACATATTATTCTCATAATGATTTTCCAAAGCATGAATCACTGGCTCTAGAAGCAGCAACTGTTTAATTTCGGTTTTGTTTGGAAGAGGAAGTGATGCATTTTTTACTTTAGATTGATCTCTTTTAGAATTACATATATGTGTTTCAATATTTAGAGACTTATCTTCACATGAATGGCCTTCCTTGTTGCTAAAAAAATTATTGCTTGTAGAAGCATCATTATTGAAGTTCATCGTGTATGTCTTTGGGTAAAATGGTAGGGATTTCGGTATGCTACCTTCCTTCTTTTCTCCTAACATATATAATTTGGCTTCACTTGGTAGCAACAACCAACGAATGTTGGCTGCTTCCTTGTCAAACATAAGTTCTTGTTCAGGAAGTTCAATTCGGCAAGCAACCTGGAGACAAAACATTATGAAAAATCTACATTTATCAACTACATATGAAGTCTGAAGTTACAACATTCGTGTATCTTAATCTATATCAAAAAATTATGAATTTATTGTAAGAAAACTAATTACAGTATATACTGAAAAAAATCTTAAGTTATAAGCTGTAAAAAAAGACTTTATGAAACCTTAATAAGTATAAGAATATTAAAACCACTCTACATTATATTTTATGTACAAAAACATTTTGTGGAAAACATTATGAAGCTTTGTTAATTTTTTTTCCATTACTTGAAGAAAATGTTTCAATTTTTGGTCTTTACTAAAAGTCATAATACCACCAGAATAACGTGTAGTAAATGAAGTTTAAACATTTGTGAATACGAATTGTTTTTGTATTGTGAAACAACAGTTTCTAGCCCAATATTAAATAATTTATTTCTGAAAAAAAAACAATCTTGAATTTTCAGATGACTGAATTTTAAATTTATGGGGTTTTCTTATATTCTTATAAGGTAATTTCACAAGTGACAGTCTCATTCATTTTTCTACAAAAGACCAAGAGAATATATATATATATATATATTCATTATTGGCCCACAGTTTGGACTATTACACCTTGTTCTAAACAATCACAATTTTAAAAATTATAGAAACACTAAATTGTGATTGAAGAAAAACAAAACAAATAACTTATAAACTTTCCTAGAGAAAGATATTCCAGATAGACCTAGGCATTTAGACTGAGGAACTTCAATCAGTTGGAAAGAATGAATGAACAGTGAAAAACTGGTCAGAGATTCGAATGGAAAGATATGATTGTTTGTTGATACATAAATTATGAAGGAATAATAAACTGTTTGATAAAAATAATACATCAAGATGCTCTCTGTTATTCAATCTGAACATTCATTCACCAATATATTCTTAGAACAAAGCTCTATCCACCACGATAAATAGAAATGCAGGAAGCAATTTATAAAGTACATAGGATAGAAATTATGCATAAAGTATGTTAAGCAGTACTGTCTAAAATCTTGCCATGTTAGAAAAAAAAGAAAAGAAACTGCAACATAGCTACCATATTTTAAGGTGAAATACCCACCATAAACTAGCACTACATTTCTCACTCATTTTTATACAGCTCATTCATCTCCAGAAATTTTCAGAATAATCATAGGTAAATGGTAATATGTATATTACGGTTTAAGATGACTGTCAGAATTTTAAAATATATATAATTCTTTTTGCCAATTGTCAAAATAACAGGCTTTTACTTGTTCTTGGGCTTAGGATTCTTCTACAGTAGGTGTCTGTGACTTGTTAGCGATAAATTCAAAAATGAATAAACAGCACACACTTTACTCGTTTTTCAAATTACATATATATATTTGGAACAAGTTAAATGTATGTACAGCAAAGTCTTCATACTATAGAGATTACAGGCATATCATAAACACTATATGTATAGTGTTCTTCTTGCCAAAAGTCCACTTAGGCCTATTCAATTACTTTAGAATTTCAGTTGACAAGCTGAACTATCTTTTCTATTACTATCACACTAGTATTCTGTATGTGATTCACTTACAATTGTGACATGAGTTACCATAATTGTTTGGTCTTCTTTCTTCTAAATCTCCTCTGTTTCTTTTGTCAAAGAGCACACAGGCTGATTCAATTACTTTAGAACTACACTTTGACAGAATAAATTATTTTTCTTATCTCCTTTTCTACTATTAGTCTTACTCTAACATATTAAACTTCAGGCTTATGTCAATCGTTAGGCCTAACACTTCTATGGTAGTTAACTTCACGCTGAACTTTTCCTTGGCCTCTAACTTTACTCTTTTTTGCTATTAATCGTCTGCTCACCTTCTATATTCTCGACATCAATGTATTGCATGTGATGTTTGATAGTCTCAACATCAATGAATTATTAACAAAACTTCCTACAATCATCTGCTTTTAACTCTTGTTATAACTAAACAATAATAAAATATTCACTCACAAAAAATAAATTAATCAATAATATCTAAACTAAACAGTCTTTTATATCATGACAATGACACCAGATTAAAATATAAAATATAATAGCTAAAATGCAAGCAAACAATAGTTAACATTGAACAAAGTTTCTGAGGTATTTTCCAAAGATCAACATCATTAGTAGGTTTTTTCAAACACAAGTGAATAAATCAGGATATGTCAGTGATACAGAAAT